CACAAGAGTTAAGTGCTCACCCCATAATCGGAAGGTTGCAAGTTCGAGCCCCGCTCAGTCTGTCGCTGCTGTGTCCTTGGGCAAGACACTTAACCCGCTTGCCTGCTGGTGGTGATCGGAGGGACCAGTGGAGCCAGTGCTCGGTAGCCTTGCCTGCATCATTGCGCCCCAGGGCAGTTGTGGATATGATGTAGCTCATCCCCACCAATGTGTGAATGTGTGTGTGAATTGGTGAATGACTGATTGTGTTGTAAAGCACCTTGGGGGGTTCCAGGACTCTTGAAGGTGCTATATCAAATACAGGCCATTTACCATTTACCACAGTGTTGTGGAAAATGAATGGTCAAACTGGAAGGATGTAGTGGTCCTTCTCCTCCAAGTCCTTACCTACGCTCTGGAGATCATTACCAAAAGAACGAGGAACAAGTAATTAGGCTTGGTTAACACAACAATACACCAAAATTAGGCTCAATCCCACCCTTCCAACAGTCTTGGAGGCACACCTGATTACTGTAATGGATCTAATTAGGTTTTTATCAGATAATCCTGCAGTGTGTGGTGTGTTGAGAGAACTGGTCTGCTTGAAAGAACTTTGGGACTGCTCTGATAATAGTGTGGGGATATTAAATGTGGGATTTTTTTTTGTCTGATCTTCAAGGACAGACTAGTGTGCTGCCTGTTGTTGATTGGCCCGTTTAGCCAATCAGAAAGCAAGGTGACGGAAGCATGCTGCATGCTCCTCCTCCACCATGTTTGTTTACTCCAAAGTCATGGTTTATCTTACATTTCTTGTCTGATTGGGGGAATGTTTGTGTGTAGTTTGTCGTTTTAGCTGAATCTGCTTTACTTTGGCCAGCATTTGTTTACTTGTTGTGTTGCTATAGACCATTGGGAGTAATGCAGTTTAAATGTAATGGTGTTATTTTTAGGTAACAGAGTAATCTAATTACTTTTCTCATTGTTGCAACGTCATTATCGTTGGGCATGTATAGTGGTGCCTTACTACAATGTGGTTTTGACTCCTGGTTTTAACAAGTTGTCCAGACACTAACAGGAAACCCAGAACTCTCTGATCTGAGGATGCTTTGGGTTCCTAGAGGACCTCAAGTGCATCCGGCTCTCACTCCTCTGAAACCTGGCCATGAAGGGATGTAGGGCCTGGTGTAAAGCTGGTCTAAGCTGCTGATCAAACATCTTCAAACCATAGCAGATCAGCCGTTAGCTCCCTGAGACGATAGCAGCCTGCTTGTTGTGTCTGCACCAGCTGTGAATCTGGTACGATTTCTGTTTCGTCCCCCGTAACAGACACAGTCCCGATTATTCTCCTCAGTGCTGGTCAGAATTCCTTGGAGTTAACTCGATTGGCTGCGACGCTCCCAGCCGGATCAATTACAGTGTCAAATGGAGCTGAACCCATTGCCAGATGGGTTCCTCCTCTGTTGCATCATGAACTGTTGAACCCAATCAGCACGTGAGCCGATGAGGTGTGAACAAATGGGGGTCACGGCGAAATGTGCCAGCTGATACACACAGTGGATCACTCGGGGGGATTGAGGTTTAATACACCTTTAGGTGATTACTGGGCCACGGACTAACAGGGAAATGAGTGAACTCGTCTCCTGCGTGATCACCCAAGGCTCTTGTGTAACCGTAACACGCCTGACAGACAAGTTCGAACTCCTGTTCACCTCCGATTAGGAGAACGCTGGACCGGAGTTATTTTTCCAAAGCTGCACATCCTCCACACTGGTCTAAAACCAAGTCGGGAATTTACTGACAACCTACAGTGGGTTAAATGTTACACTGGAGTTTGAGTGGAATGACGAGTGAAACACAGAGTAACATAGATCACAACCTTTTGTTTTCTAACGATCAAAAAATATTTATATTACATTTTAAGAGTTTATTTTGATGCTTTCGAAGTAATCAGAAGGAAAATTTAAGTACTAAAGGTTTCCATCCATCTCTCATTGAAGGTCACATTGCAGCGATAACAGGCCCATGAGGGAGAGCTAGACCTCCCTCCTCTCCTGGAGGATCCCAGAGTGTTCTCAGTTCAGGTTCCAAGGTCTGTGTGGAGGTCTTCTCCTCGGTGTGCGTGTCCGGAACACTACCAGACCAGGAGGCATCCTAATAAGATGCCTGAACCACCACAGCTGACTCCTTCAGATGAGGAGCCTGGGCTGTGCTCCGAGCCCATTGCCTCTCAAAGGCTGACCCTTGGCCCAGGATCTTGTTCTTCAGGCCATGATCCAGATCACATGACCTCAGGTGATGCTGGGCGTTTGAGCTCAGCTCCTGCTATGCCACAGGTTTAGCCTGGGATCAGCTGACTCTAATCCCAGTCGGAACTGCTCCAGTGAACTCTGAAGGTCGTGACTCAAACACCAACAGAACCAAATTGTTGTTCAGTTGTTAACAACATGACATTGTTTGTTCCTGTTGATGCACACATTGAGTCTGACTTCATGTTATTAAAATGTGAAAATTGCTGCTCATTCTTTGTTTTCTTAACTGAAAAATACAGATAATCTTGTTAAAAATGGCTCCTCCACATTTTCTTCTCCTAATCCCATTTTAATCCCTGTTGGATTTATTTTAGCAGGGTAAAATGTGATTTTTTTTTTCTGAATCTGTGTGTTGTTGCTGTTTCTAAGGCGTTGGGTCACCTTTGTTGCCTCCAAACACCAGTTCAGGATCAGCTGCTGTGTCTGCATCTCTAATAAAAGACGTTTGTTGTTTGGAAGCAGTGGAGTTCCTTCTCTAGATTTAAAACGTGGAATTGAGAATGACAAACACATTCTTTCAATATTTATTTTTCTGACAACGTAAAGACGAGAAGGCAGTTTGTGATTGAGCCACAAAGGCGGTGAAAGCCTCGTTGTTGAGGGCATTCAGGTTTTTGAGAAGAACATCTCGTCAGCGCAGCCATTCAGGACTGCCGTAGCTATCACCAGGCGTGCCAAGGTTAGGTGCTTAAGCCGTTAGCTCAGTGTTATTCTGTTGCCAACCTTGTGTTGTTATTGCAGAGGGGGCGAAGATGAGTGAGACGGGGGATTAACTGAACTCCCACACAGCAGTATCACTCTATTAATCGTCCGCCTTTGTCTATCAAGGTTAGAGCGAGTCTGCAGAACAGGAGCGCTCGTGTGCACATTCACAGGTTTTTCTCTTTATCTTCATTTACAATTGTTCATCATCTTTACTCTTCAAGTGTTTTTCCTCCTCTCTCCCATCCGCGGAGACACTTTTGGTTTTGGTCACTTTCTGCTTCTATGACTTAGGCAGACACTGGAGCCTGGATCGTGTTTTCTGTCCAAACTGAGCAGATTGTATTCGACACTAAGAGTATTCGGTGGTAGACGTTGTCAGAAGAGCTTCTTCAGTCCTGTAACGTAAACCTTTCAGGTTCTTGTGTATCAGTGGATTTACATCACATTTTTAAACAGGTTACAGGCAACGGGGTCACTGGGACACTGGTGTATTTGCATAGTGCATCTGAAGTGTGTGAGTAGAAGTTTTCCTAGGGTTTCAGCTATGGATTATTGTAATAATTGGGTAATCTGCCACAATTATTGATCATTTGAATAATCAGATAAGCTTTAGTGTTCTTCTCTTCAAATATGTGGTCAAAATGTAACTGAGCAGTACTTATAAAAAAATAAAAAAGCAGCCATGTTTGCCTGGTGAAATGTTTGGATTCTCCATTCAGCCAGATGCTAACCAACCACTTAAGGAAAACGCGTGTTAAAGACTAAACACTTTAGCAAGATGATTACAAACACGTCATTCTCATTAAAGCTGTTCCCAATTCCAGTTGATAGATGTTGTTCTTTTAAATCTTAGAGTCTGATCACTTGGGTTGCTAGGTCAAATCTTCTCGCCATTTTTAGGTTTAAGTCAGAAAAAAAATTAACTGTTTTTTTAGATGGGGTGGGCGGGGCTTAAAACATGTCCTGCAGCCAGCCTCTAGGAGGCACTTAATATTTGCTTTACCTATTTTTTGATGTATCTGTGTCATTAAAAGGCTTTGAGTTATTTCTGCATTTTACTGCACATAAATTATAAAGGCAAATTAAAACAGGATTGAAACAGCATAATCTCATGTTTGATTCCTTATTAGACCCCTTTGCCTCCCTAAAGGCAACAGAAACATACAAAAAGCAGCTGTTTTAACAAAATCAACATTTCTCTGAGCTCTGGCTGATTTAATTTATCACTTCAGTTGTGATTGGAACACGAATTTGATGTTCCTCATTCTCCCCTGATTGTACCAAAGTGTTCCCACAGTATTCAATGCAACTGTTAACAGTTCTTATGCAGTTGTTATCATGAAATGTTTGGTTTCAGAATGGTTTTGATGTTTTTTTGTCTTCTCTTCTGTATTCTCAACTTTTGATTTAGAACAATATCTGTCCTCTGTTGTCCAGGATGTGCAGCTTTTTGTCTTGTTTTCTGTTCTTGAATGTTTGGTTTTCACGACACGCTTTAAGAATTCATCCCGTTTGAACTAATTATGCTGTTTAACTTGTAGCCATCTAACGCGTGTTTTATGTGCATAAATGTGTATTATCTGTGTGTGTGTGTGTGTGTGTGAGTGCGCGCGCCTGCGCGCGCATGCATGCTCGTGCAGGAAGCTCAGTGTGATTGAGTTTGTATGAAGCTGCCTATTGTTATAACTGTTTGCTTGTGTGTGTGTGTGTGTGTGTGTGTGTGTGTGTGTGTGTGTGTGTGTGTGTGTGTGTGTGTGTGTGTGTGTGTGTGTGTGTGTGTGTGAGTGTGTGCGTGCGCGTGTGTGCGCGTGCGCATGCATGCTCGTGCAGGAAGCTCCATGTGATTGAGTTTGTATGAAGCTGCCTATTGTTATAACTTTTTGCTTGTGTGTGTGTGTGTGTGTGTGTGTGTGTGTGTGTGTGTGTGTGTGTGTGTGTGTGTGTGTGTGTGTGTGTGTGTGTGTGTGTGCGTGCGTGCGTGCGTGCGTGCGTGCGTGCGTGTGTTAGGTGCGTCCACCCAGGATTCAGACGCCATGGAGCCGGAGAAGCAGGTGGACGGAACGGTGAAGATGGCCGGAGTGATCGCTGGGATCCTCATGTTCATCATCATCCTCCTCGGAGTCATCCTCACCTTCAAGCGCAGGTAAACAAACAGCTGATGAGAGCAGAATCAATCAATCAATCAATCAGAATTAAGTCATTCACTAGATGCTTGGTAGTCTCATTAGCTATAATAACGTCAGATCAAGGTCACACACGCACCTTAACTCACATCTGGAGTGTGTGTGTGTGTGTCAATCTTATTGTGAAGGATGAATCTCAAACTGATTTAGGAATTTTTTTATGTATGTAATTAAAAAAATAGAGAGATGAGATTCAGAAGGTGATGTTCACCTCTTCCAGATGGATCTGGAGAAGTTTTTCTGCTCCTTGGCTCTGATATGCTGCCATATATCTGAAACTTTCATCACATTTGGAAATTAATTTGGTGAAAAGAAATTATACAAGAGACTGCCAAGAATCTCGTCAGGTTTTATGTCAGTAAATAGTTAATTTGTTGCTTCAAAGTAATTAAAATTTTTAGCTTTAGAAATTTTGTGTCCTCGTAGTTCAGAGAAAACTGGAAATGAAAGACTGTAAATTTCAGAGAAGCCATTTTAGGAAGAGAAGTTTATTTTTTAAATAAATAAAAGTGAAAATAATCTAACATGTCATTTTTAATCTGCACCAATCTGTGAGGTTCTTTTGAGTAGGCTGGTGAAAATCAAAACGTGAACTGTTTCATTCAGAAAATTCAAGGTTTAGAAGATTTATTGAATCCTCTAAATAAATGAAGTTTTCCAGATTTAATTTCCTTAGCAGGCATTTTAAGTTTAAGCATCTGTCACCGTGCACACTGCCTCGCCATCCTCCTCCAATTCTCTAACCCTTCATCATTCCTCTCATCCTCCTCTTCCTCATGCTGCTCACAGTTTTGATTTGCTGGTTTTAGTTTGTTTGTTCTGGTTTTGTAACAAACTTCTTTGCTTTGTTTTGCTTTTTTTTAAATCAGACAAACTCAATCGAGCCAAGACCAAAGTCAGCTGCAGATACATATATTTTTTTAGATTTTAAAACTTCCTTATTCTAAAATTTAATTTGGCGACTATTTTCTTTTATTAATGGTTTAATGAATGTTGCATTTATTCCGTTTTGGCTCAGATTAAGACTCTGTTGGAGTCTACTGAAGGACCAGAGGTCTGCTTTGCGCTTTTAGCTAGAAGCAGGATTGTTTTTATGTTCTCCACATGACAGGTTGTCAGGGGTTTTATTCCCAAAGTCTATGAATAATAAAATTAAACAAAAAATGACCTTAAATTCCTGAAATTAAGAATTTTATTACCGTTTTTGGCCTTTTAGAGCTTGTTTCACAGTTTGATTGCTGAATTGGTAATGTGATAATAAATACCAGGGTGTTGGTAACATTGCTAGGTTTAATTTTATTGTTATCATGAATGAATACAGCAGGGAAAATCAGTATTTGAAACATCTACATTTTTAACGGTAATGGTTTTTCTAAATGAGCTACTGACCAAAAGTTTCAACCACATGTCAACATCAACTCAAGTATTTAATTCATGCAAAGACATCTACACAAATCAAAGTCCATAAATGGAGTTATATGTAATAAAGTGAAAAGACACAGGGAAAAAGAGGAGTTCAAGGTGCAAATTGGCATAGAAAGCCAGAAAATCACCTGAAATATGTCAGTATTGACAGAGAAATCCTATCCCTATCAGTACTAATTACTAATCAGCTGCTTTAGTCCTGATTGATGTTCTTTAAAGGCTTCATGATGGGGAAAAGCAAAGAACTCTCCGAAGATGTTGGTAATATTATTGTTGGAAAGCATTCTGATGGGAATGGTTATAGGCACATGCCAGAGTGCTGACTGTTCCTGTGAGCACTGTGGGGGCCGCCATCCTGAAATGGAAAGATCATCAGTTCACCGTTTCAGCAAGACAAAGTTCCCAAACACAAGAACAAGGAAACACAAACTGGTTTCAAAGTAAGAAAATCAAGTTGCTTGAATGGTCAGTCAGTCACCTGAGCTAAATCCCAGAGAACATCTATGGTGAAAGCTGAAGATCAAAGTTCATAAGAGACGCCTGAGGAGCGTTTGTGTGGAAGAACGGGCACTGATCCCTCCTGAGCAACGCAGACGACTGATACATCTATACAAGAGGCATCTAGAAGCTGTAATCACCAACAAAGACTTTTCTACAAACTATTAACCTGTGTCGTTTCACCTTATTTATTAGGACTCAACTTGTTTAATTACCTGTTCTGATTTCTTTGTATGAAGTCAATACCCCTAGAAATACACTTACCGGTAAAAATGCTGTGGGAAACACTTATTTTCCGTGTGTGTGTGTGTGTGTGTGTGTGTGTGTGTGTGTGTGTGTGTGTGTGTGTGTGTGAAAATAAACACTTGTGTTTAAAGGAGCCCTGATTACTTACTTTAACAAGCTTCAACAAGAATTATCAATGGGAATTCAGAAATGACAGTCAGAAAATACTTTCTGTTTTTAATGATGCTAAATGTCTGATTACAGTTTTGATGGTCTGATCCTGATGTTTCCATCACTAAAGACATCTGCTGCTGTTTCCAGAACTTAATGAAGTTTTATTTGTTTTACAAAACTAGTGCTCCTACAACTTTAAGTCATCTGCTTTGATTACAAATTTAAGGTTTTATATGATTCTGAGTCAACTCTCTGAAGGATTAAAATGAAACAATTCTGATTTTGTTCTTGTTCAGAAGATGTTTAATTAGAGATCCGAGTTAACAATAATTTGATTAGAAGGTCTGGATGTGACTAAAATAACCAAACACAAAGAGCTGATTAGGTTCACACCAGTGAAGATGGAACAGCCGTGTTATACATAAATACAACAGCAGCCAAAAGATGTGAAAGGAGGAGAAATAAAACATTCTGCACACACCGGGAACAAAGAGCCATCTCATTTCTATTCTTCGGACAAAATTACATTTATTTCAAGTCAGATAAGGAGGTTTAGGAGTCAGCTGAGGCGCGGGGGTCAGGTGGAGATGTTAATCAGAGGCCAACCCGGATAACGCAGAACATCTGAAACACAGAGGCGCTAAAACTCCATCAGAAGAAGAAGGAAGTGACAGTGCGAAGGACCTGAGAGGAGACTGAAGATGAAAGACGAAGAGAAAGAAGAAAATGTTCGCAGTCTGAGAATATGAGAATTGAAAGCGAGGCAGCGCTGCTTGACCCCAGGTTCAAGTGGATATGCTAATCAGACTCTAACTGGGCTAATGGGGCGGCACACTTAAAGCTGAAAATTATAAGGCAGCAATGGATATGTGAATAAAAACCTGATCTGATACTCTAAATTTAACTTAATCCAGATGAAGAGGCGGTGTTAAAGGTCGCATGGAAACAGAGATAACTCAAAAACTTTTCACTCTTCAGCTAAACATCATGGTGTAGGTTTAAGGTCTGCCTTGTCAGACAGAAACGGAGAAGCTACTTCAGACAGTTGAAGGTTTCTAATATTTTCTGGGGTCATTTATATTTCAGACCTTGGGGAAGAAAGCTGCTGTTTTTTTCAGTCTAAAAGTGTTTTACAGGCATTTTAGTCCTCATAAATTATTCTGTGACAAAAACATTTCAGGAAGTGAACGTCGACAATCGTCCAATTAATCTTTGAAGAGATTGCTACACGTGTTTGAAATGGCCTTTGTGGAGAAAGGATGTTGCTGATAATGTAACGTAAAATGGAAGACCAGTGGACATGACTGAAGTCTTAATGGGGATTCTGTGTTTCTGCAGCCTGAGGGCTCAAACTCCCGGCACCTGAAAATCCACTTTCTGAAAAAAAAAAAACTGAATTGATGAATAATTAATATTCCCGGTGCTCTCCAAACAAGGGCTGATTTGTGATTCCGGAGCCGAAGAAGTAAAGGTGACATCTCTGGAACGGCAGATTAATAGGAAAAATATGTTCTTTAAACTTTTACACCCCCAATCCCTCCCATCAAAACTGTTTGAAATTCTGACTCAGCGGCCATCTTTTGGGGACTTTTCTGTTTTATCTGAATCTTCCAAAAGCTTGCGACATACCGGTCCACCTTAACAGGAGACAAAACCATAAAGGGTTCTCCACCGGAATGCCAAACTAAAAATGCCCAAAGAAAAACGAAGCAGGAACAAGGGCGGAAAGGCAAACAAACACGCAAATTAATAAAAAGGTTTAATATAACCCCCGGCTACACACACACACACAGACACACACACACACACACATACTCACACGTACACAGATGCAAAAATGTGCCTAAAGCACAAAGGTGAACATGTTAGTCTCTATTTAATGAATACAGAGTTTTTTTTTTTTGCATGTGCAATTGTGAAATTTAAAACAAACATTTTTAAAGGGAACTTAATATATTAACATAATGATACAATAAAATTAATTGAATGAACCAAACCCGGAACCTTCTCTTGTATTAGAATGTGGCCTGTTTTTGCCACAAGCTGCTTAGGGGACACATGAATTTCCACCATTAGGGCTACACAGGAAATCACACACGTTTCAGTGTAAAACGTCAGGTAATTTTCAAAATAAAAGACCATTGCAGCGATGCAAATTTGTTTCTGTGTAGATTACGTAAGTTACCTAATGGCTTATTTACTCGCAGCATCTTTTGAGAAGTGCAGCAGTGTGTTTTTCATGGCTTTAGTCCTGGCAGTGGAGAGGAACAACAATATATCAAACCGCAATATCAATGGTTATCTTCTCCTCTTCTTTGGTTTAATGGCGGATGGCATAAACAAACCATGACCTTCTTGTGGAATTTTTTGATCTTCCAGCGAGGATGGTGGAGATGCCGCTCCACGTATGAGACCCTCCCCCAGTGTAGATTGGCAGTCGGTGAAGCACGCGAGTGAGCCGTCCCACTGTCTTTTCGGGCTGCTGATTCCTCCAATGTGGTCCTGGGGTCAGAGACTTTTTTTGTGTTCATCATGAGTTGATGGGTCATTACCAATGACTGTAAAGTAGATTGAAAAACCCTCCGTAACGTCACCTATAGATTTTTTTAAGAGCTTGTTTGAAGCCAAAAGGGCGGTTCCCACCACCTCCATCTTGGCCGTTTAACTCCTGTCGTCACAACAGACAAATACAAAAAAGGCTGAGAGGTGGAGCTGACAGTTGGAGCATGACTGACACTCATCAAACTGAAGCTACTGTAAATCCTCTAATATTGGCCTGTATTCATTTAACGGCCGGGTATCACATTTTGGCCGGTGTCGGAGTCGGTGGAGGTGAATAATGGCCGTTTTTTTTATCGCTGGGTGGAATGTGGTAACAAGCAAGTACAGGGGGCGGTTGTGTCAACCGTCTCACTTTTGATTTGCCAGAGATAGACCGTGAGGGTAACTTTAACCATGGCAGGTGCAGAGACGAAGAGGAGGTGAAAATTTGATATCAAGTTCAAAGAGAACGTGCTGATATATGCTGCAGAACACTCTGGGGAGGAGGGGAGAGGATGGAGTAGGACGCGAGTCTGGGAGCTCCTGCCGACTTCGATTAAATTGTTATTCATTTGCGCTTTTTTGACCACATTTCTTGTCCTAATTCTGATTTTTGAATTATTTTGTTGGGACGTTTTAATCGTCTCGGCATAAAATGGCAGCAAAAAATGTAAAAACCCGCAATGCTACTCAAACACAACTGAAGCTTGGTTTGCAAACCGCGGCCACACCCTCGAGTGAGCCGTCGTCTCCGACAAAGTTTCCCTTGGGCCAAGCTAATCCTGATATCGAGGCTCTCAAGAACACTCTGGGGAGCAGTAGGGGTTGTATGAACTAGTCACTAGTCAACTTCACCGCTCTATAGTGACTTTTAATGCCTGTCATTGACTAGTCGCTGTCAAGTGATAATGACTGGCAAGATGCAGTCCACGGAAAAGACAGCAGCCTGCTGTCAGCAGGTGACAAGCTCCTGCCTGTCGGGAGGCGACGCGCTGTGCCAGAGCGTGGGTACTGACACCCGCCGTAAAACGGACATTTAACCAAATTATGACCTTTACCCTCTTGCAATTTAACCTTCCCCTCACCCCCATCCTAACCTTCACCAGCTTGCGCATGCAAAGCTCTGATTGTTTAAACGCTCCAGACATCTGCGTCCTGAGCACGGCCACAGTAACGTTATCAAATTAGGTGTCGCCACCTCAAAAACTAATTTAACACGCGATCGTTCATGTCGGCTCATATCCTCTTGTTTTCTGTCTTTTATTTTTGCCTGATGCTTTTCGCTGCTGTGGAGCAGGGCACATTACCTGTTTTGTCCTCCGGTGATGCACCAAACTGATGAGGCCGGCGAGCAGCGCGCACTCCGCTGTTTTTGCGGTCGGTAGATCTTTTAGATTTATAAGGTGAATATATATGAACCCAGGTAGTAGTTTTTCTTTAGGATTGAGAAGAGATGCAGGAAGATAATAAACAGAGACAGGACAGAAAAATAGTCAAATAAAAACAAGTTAGTTTTTGTACCTGGTGGTTGCAACAAACAGACACCATTGAAGGTAATCAGAAGTGAGGAACAGAAAATGAAATAATTATTTTAATGTTTAGAGCAACAGGAACTCCGAGAGGCTGCAGGCGCATCAGTGAGTTTGTGGCCGCTGCACAGGGGGAGGGGGGAGAAGGCTGAAGCAGAAACTACCGTTGTTAAAAGAAATGTGTTTAACTTTGAAAATGTGGGCGCAATTTTAATTGTCAAAAACTCCAGCGAACCATTAGTTCCTTTTGCTCAAATTGAAATTGAGGCCTGCCTCTAATTCTGGTCCTCCTTCCAATAAAGGCCTGGAGTTTGATAAGCTTGAGTCAAATACAGGCCCGGGCCTGCATTAGAGGATTTACGGTAACTGAGCTAACCCAATGCTAACATGGAGCATGAAGCAAACGGAGGTAGCTACAAACTAGCTAACCCGGAGTCAGACCAAAGCTTACATGGCGCTAAGAGCTAACCATCAACGAGCACAGCCACAGACCATAGAAGTTGGAGACGGACACCCGGCTGCATGAGCCCATGCTCCTCTCCTCCACAGCATCTAGAGCTCAGCAGGGCTCTCTGGCAGCGAGTCTCATTACCAAACCCTACCAACGAAAGCCATATTTCAGGCCATTTTGGCCAAGTAGCATTATGATACACACACATTTTACCCCATCCAACCAGCCTCATAAAGTACAGAATTATCGTTTCACTTACCGATAATACTAAACATCCATGTTTTCAAGACCGTGCATCAGGGTTTTCCCCAGCGCTTTATAAGTCTTTCCTCTTAATATTAGTTTTATTGACTCTGTGTTGCTCCAACATGTTTTAGAATATTTACACATTTATTAAAACACACATCATCCTGATAAAGAAGTAAAGAGGAAAGATTTAGTTTTAGCCTCTGAAATAGGAATAACATTACACACCTGCAGGAGTTTGATGGTGAGTGGATTAAACTGAGAAGTGGATGCATGAGTTTTAGAACATTTTAGCTGTTTATTAAATAATCTTTGAAGTTTTACATCCTTTTGTTTTTTGCATTCCTGCTGATCCATCCCAGCTTCCTCTCTGCCGCCTCGTATCATCTAATCAGTCAAATGTCTTTCCATTTTGTGACACTTCCTCCAGTCTAAAGTCGTTCAGGATAAACTGTTTATGTTTTTATCTCAGATTTTCTTCAGGATTTATAAAGAAATGAAACAGAAATCCTCAACGGTGATGCTTTGTAAACCGAAAAACAAGTTTTACTGCAACTTTTAGTATAAATGTAGAATTGTTTTGGAAGTTTAAGACTAGATTTGGCAGAATTTATAAGGTCCGTTGGCAACAAATAATATTTTTAGATTATTTTCCTGAAGAGCTTTTCCTCTTGGGAATTCCAGCTGGAGAAATCTTTGTATCTTTAGGCATCATTTGAAGCTAAAAACCTGGTGATGTTTAACATGTTAAATCTTTTAAAGCCTGGTTCTGCTCATGGATGCAGAAATCGATGAAAATTTTTAGTTTTGGTTTTGACTGTTAAACAAAAACCTGCTTAAACCGACTGAAGTGGTGTTTTAGAATCCAGACCATAGAAGCAAACACAAATTTATTCCTTCTGAGAACAAAATACTTTAGAAGTTGGAATAGAAATGTGAAATGAAGATTCTCAGAATAAATGTGGAGAATCTTTGAGATGAAACAACAACCTCTCTTGACTCGAGTCTCACATCCTTTTATGTCTCTCTCTATCTTCCTGTTTCCTGTCTTTGGCTCTGCCCCTCCTGTCCCGCCCTGTACCTGCCTTGCCCTTGCTCCAATAGAGAGATTCACACGTGGAGAACTCTGAGCGTGGGGTATTGTATATTTACTTCTAGACATCCACTCTGTTCCTCACCTCTGCTTTGCTCACATCTAGTTTACCAAACGCATCTTGAAATCTGCAAAGATCCATTTTGTTATGTTTAAAAAGCTAAAGGAAAAGTTTGTTTGTTTTGTTTTGAGGAGTTTCTGATTAGTTAGTACCACAGACAGTGATCTCAGTTTGGAGTTAGGGAGACATAATCATGTAGTCATTTAAAAGTCCAGTTTAGAGCAGAAACATCCCGATTTTTCATTACTCACAAAAACAGTCCATTCAAGAACAAACATCCATCTGAAATAACTCATGATCCAACCTTTTACATTTGTCCTTTTGCATGAAATGGTTTGTTTTTGTTATTGTTGACTATGCTAACCACACAGTCCTATTGGTCTTTTATCCAACCTGGTTCTTGCAGACACCATGTCCTTTCCCCACCAAAACAGAAACATTCTGCATTCGACACTAGACCAAAGGAACTGAGTGGGTTCAGCAAAAAGGCAACTGGACTTCTTTTATGATCCATGTAGGTTCCTCACTTTAAAAAGGCAAGGAGAGAGTACTGAGCTTTTAAACCCCAGTGAGACCTTTCTCACCGGGGGAGCAAGTTGGTGTTTTTAATCCTTCATCTTAGTTTTCTGTGTCCACATGGGAGGGTTTGTCAATTACATTCCTCAAGTTTAGATTGCTGCTAAAACTGAGAAATGCCTTAAAACTGTGGTGAGAACTATAATTTAAATATGACTCCTCACTCCTCTTGAGAGTCAGCAGGGTTTTCATTTTCCTCGTCCACATGACCCATGTTCTGATCACAGAGGAGAAAAGGTTTTGAAGAAAGAGTAGAAGAAGCCATCTTTGTCTGGTTTGAGGTTTTAGCTCGTCAGTGTCACAGCAAATCTCTCTTCAACTAGCTGCTGGTAGTTTGGTGCAGCTGTGAGGAGAGTTGGCTGTGAGCAGTGGTCTGGGCGCTGCTGTGCTCTTAAGTTTGGGTTAAGGTTATGGTTAAGTTTACAAACCAGTAAAACCTGTCACGGGTAGATAAGTGTGTGAAACTTCTGCTTTGCTTTTGTGGAAATGACTGCTTCATGGATAAGAGTCACTCTGGTTAGCATGCTAAGCTAATGGAAGCTAAGCACTCGTGGTGGTTTGTGTTTTGACCTCAACAGACCCATTAGCATCATCAACATGTCAGGACTTATTATTGTGGATTTATCATCTTCCAACTGTTCATTTGAATGTTTAGACTGGACTTCCAGGGGTCTCATTTGTCGCACCAACATTTGGTTTCACCAACCACCATTGGTGATCTTGCCTTGGTTTAAGGTGAGATTGGTAAACTTTCACACTAAAGTTCCCACTACAGTTTATGAGCTTTTAGTTTTGATGTGAGAAAGCTCCTCGGATGAGAAGCTCAACAACTTCAGGAAAACAAAACTCTGTTTGTTTAACTTCATGCTTTATTTACTTTTTAATCCTCGATTAGGACGGCCAGAATGACTCAGAGGCGCTTTCAGCCGCTCGTCTGTAGCAGCATGGATGTTCTCCTGCATTAAACTTGTTTGTAATACTTCTGGAGACTATAACCGTAATCCTAATTGTGGTTTGAAGTCTGCTGGGGACAATTATTATTAATTATTCACCAAACATAATCAGAAATATACTCATAAAATAACATGTAACTGTCTGTGATCCACCGGATTAAGTTTTGTTTTCACAGCAGAACCGTCCTGCACAGTGTCTGAGAAAAAAAATGGAACTCATGTCTGAAAAATACTGTGCTGTAAATGCAGCTGCAAGAGTAAAACTAACTTGAAATAACCAGTTTTATTGTGTTTGATTCAACCTAAATTTAAAACCGGGTTAGCTAAAAGGCTAGCTAATGGTTAAGGTTTCACAGCATGCAACTCCCTTACAGAAATGTGTAAAATGAAACAAAATTAACTATTTACCATTTTAGATTTATTCAGTTCATTTATTATTTTTTTTAACCTTTGTTTATTGAATTTTTAACAAGATCCGGAGATAGCAGTTTGAGGCTGTGTCAAAAACCAAATGACAGGAGAACCAAAACCCATAATTATATACATATGTCTATATGAACATTTATACACATATATGAACCGAACATACACGACATAAAAATATTTAAATAAATAAAAACAAACCAATAATAAACCAAAAATAAGTGGGCAATAATGACCACTGTTGAAAGTTCTTCTTTATCTGATCTAACAAAGGTGCATAATTATAATCAAACAAATCTTCTAATCGGTCTCTAATCTGAATACCCAGGTACCTAAAACCAGATGGAACAATTTTGAATGTGAAAACCGAAGCAGCCCTTTGGGCCCCTTGATTTAGGGGAAACAGCCCACTTTTGTTCATATTTAGTTTGTAGCCTGAAATCTGACCAAACAAACCAAGGATGCCAAGGATAACTGGAACTGAGACAGAAATATTGGACACATAGAGCAGTAAGTCATCAGCATAGAGGGAAACCCTCTGTTCATGCCCATATCTGGTCATTCCAGTTATATGTGGCTCTGAACGAAGTGCAAGGGCTAAGTGATCAATGGCAACGGCAAATAAAAGAGAACTTAGAGGACAGCCCTGATGAGTGGAGCGGTGCAAGGGGAAAAATTCTGAGTAAATGTTATTAGTTCTGACTAAAGCCACGGGAGATTAATAAAGCAGCTTAACCCAAGAAATGAACTTCTGGCCAAAACCAAATTTCTCCAAAGCATAAAAAAGGTAGTTCCACTCTATCTATTTGCATCTAGTGAGATTACGTCCTCGGACCCACTACGCGTAGAGGGATTGTAAACAACGTTAAGAAGACGTCTGAGATTTAAGAACCCGTGTCTGTTCTGGAAAAAGCCTGTCTGATCAGAATAAATGATCAAGGGCAAAACGGATTCCAGTCGCGGAGCTAATACTTTGGACAAAAGTTTCACATCTACATATGGAAGACTAATTGGACGATAACTTGAACAAGACAGAGGATTCTTATTCCTTTTTACAAGTAATGAAATGGAGGCCTAATTTTAAGTCTGAGGTAATTTAGAAGAGGTAAGAGATTCATTAAAACTTTCTATCAATATTGGATCTAATTTGTCAAAGAATATCTTGTAAAATTCAGTTGGGAAACCGTCCAGGCCTGGACATTTTCCAGATTGCCCATTTAAGTTTGTCCACAGTGACTGGGCCTTCTAACTGTCCAGCAATATCAGAGTCTACCTTAACCAGCTCCAATGAGTCGAAAAAACTATTCAAAGCCGAGAGATCTCAGTCAACCACAGACGTATATAAAGAGGAATAAAACTGTTTAAACTGATCATTAATTATTTTAGGATACACTGTAACACCAGAAGGAGTATAAATTTGTGAACTCTGTAGAGAGGAGAATGGCTGTTGAAGCCGATGGGCCAAAAGTTTAGTCTTCCTGTCTCTAGACTCTGATAACAGTATTTAGCTTTAAATAAGAGCTCTTCAACCTCTCTAGTGGAGAGTGTATTATACTCAGCTTGAAGAGAAAGACGATCCCTATACATGTTTGGGGATGGGGAGGAGGCATAGATACTATCAAGCTGGGAAATTCACACCCTCAACTCTTGTAATTTTTTTTCCTTTGTTTGTTCTCATAGCTACCGTGTGAAATAATTTCAGCCCTGATATATGCTTTCATGGTCTCCCAAAGAAGGTAAGATGAGATCCCTGGAGTTATATTGGTAGTAAGAAAAACTCTATTTGGTTAGAAACAAACTTAACAAAATTGTTAGATAGCAGACGCGTATTAACCCTTACCCAACGTTTAAATTTTCTAACGTTAAAGTCATTAGAGCACAAAAAAATGCTCTAATGTGAGGTAAGGGTTAAGATGCCAAGGGAGGTAAATACGTTCACGCTCATGTATACATAACTCCAGTGTGGTCGGAGCATGGCCCAATATTGGAATAGCATCGTAGGAGCAAGACCTACCAGCATGGAGAAAACATTTGTCCAGGAGAAAATAATCAATCCGGGAATAGGAGTGATGAACATGAGAAAAAAAAATACATTTTACCGGTTGGATTAAGAAAGCGCCATGGATCAATGACATCCTAACGCTCTGTTGACAGCGTAAACAAGTAGTGCTCATGCGAGTCTGAAAAATGCATAGAACATATGAGTAAACTAAAACAGTAACAAAATATGAAAAGGGACTCAAGTCCAAGAGACATTTTACCAACAAGAGGAACGGATTACATTAACCGCTAGTTTACCAGACAGACGTCGGCTTTCACGCCTTTGATTCAGGAGAAACGCCTAACTTTAAGTTCACTTTAACAAAGTCCATTGCAATGGCTGGATCATCAAAGGTGTGTGTGGCTCCACCAGGAAGACTGATCTTCAAAGTTGCAGGAAACATCAAACCGAACTTGACTCCAGAGCACGAGTGTAGCAGACGTTTAGCATCAGAGAATGCCAAGCGTTTCTTTGCCACAGAGGAAGTGTAGTCAAGAAAGAGAAACAGTCTTTTAACTTGGTGGAGCAGAGGAGCCTCGCTGGCCCGGCATAGAATGTCATTTCTCATATGGAAAAAATGTGATCTAATTACAAAGGGTCTGGTTGGTTTTCCATCTGGGGGCTTGGATCGAAGAGTGCGATGCACACGATTGAGTAGGGGTAATTCAGCCAGGCCGAGGGAGTCCTTCAGCAGCCGGGCAATAAATTTGGTTTGGCGCACACACTCAGTTCCCTCGGGGATTCCCACCAGCCATATGTTATTCCTCCTTGCACTGCCCTCCAGGTCCTCTCGTCTATCGGTCAGCAGTTTAACCTCAGCCTTCGGCTTAGACACAGTTGAATCCAGTGAGGTGAACAGGTCGCTGTGGTCAGTGCATGCACGCTGCAGCTCCTCAATAGCTTGGTCGTGGGAGCTATGTTTTTGTTGCGTCGGTTTGATAGCGTGCTTAAGCTCCTCTCTCACCAAAGAAATGTCTGCTCAAAGTTCAC